AAAAAAAATATTTCATCTTCTCCAAACCCTATCCCTGTCCCCACTCTCTTCCCAAAGCTCAAAGTGGTTGATGAAATTATTGAAGAACCCATAATTCTTGTCCAACTCAATACTCTCATACTCACTCCCTTTATGTATAGTGGGCAAAGCCATGTCGCCGCGCAAGCAAGGCCTTAATATGCTTAGCTGTTGATGGTGCAGGAGAATTCTTGAATGCACTAGGCAGTGGAGCCGGGCTGAAAAATGGGAACTTGGATGTCTTCCCAGTTGAGAAATTGAGTAGAGGCTCATTGTTTTCACCTGGGACATTATTAGAGAAATTTTTTGGAGACTCTTAAGTTTTCAATGACAATTTCCCATAGAATAAATCTAAGCCAATAATATTGTTAAATTCTATGTGATTTAGACGTTTGTTGAATAAAGGAAGCTTGTTTAATCTTAATTTAGAAGTCTTGGTAGATTGGATTCCATGTGATTTGGGATTCGGTTGATTGGAGGAAGTTTAAGGTACTTGGGTTTGTAGAGTGCTAAGTTGTGGAGATCAAATTTCAATAATAATTAGGAGTTTAGCTTGAAAGTGGACTATTGGATGGCAAAAAGTATGTTTTGGAATGTTAACCCGAAACCTAGCGCCCAAGCGCGTAGCGCCCAAGTGCTGCAATGAAGCACCCAGGCGCTGCACCTAGCGAGCGCCTTGGCGCTGTAACAGTAACTTGATCGCGGGTTTCTCGTCTTATACGGATTTTAGGACTTCTTCTTCATCTTGGACTCCACAACTTTGAGATTTAGCTTCTATAAATACTCCACAAGGTATATGCACTTCGTGAGGGTGAAAATGAAAAACTCAAGAGAGATTATAACAATTAGATCATTGTTGTATACATTAGAAATAAGAGAGAATTGTTTAGATTAGATTGAGAGGATCAAATCTTGTAAGACAATTGTTTATTTTTTGGTATAATAAATTCTCCTATTCCACACTTTTCTTGATTGTTCCGTGATCCATTAAATTTCATATTGTCCATATTTTTCGTCTTTAATTATTTGACCNATATTTTTCGTCTTTAATTATTTGACCGATTTCTCAACAAGTGATATCAAAACGTTCTTGATATCGGGGTTAGTTCATAATGAGTGATATCAGAGCCAAGGTTTTTTTGACGATTTAATGGAGGTCAAAATTAATTATTAAACCAAGGTTGGAAAAAGGTCGATTGTTTGGTGATGACAACTTTGAAATTTGAAATTCCGCTTTTGGATCGCAAAAGTAGATTTTCATTGTGACAAATCAAGATGCGAGCGGTTCTTACTCAATTGGATCTTGATGATACTTTGTTGGCGATTAATAGGATGCACGTAACAATGACCGCGGAGGAGAAACAACGGAAGGATCAGAAAGCCCTATCTCAAATACATCTTCATCTTTCTAATGAAATTCTTCGGGACGTGGTAAAGGAGAAAA